AATACAGATCAGTTTTTACCGGGTGTTCAAGTCTCATCTGCTTGCATTCCCAGAGCGGTGCTAGAGCGTTACCTGCATAGAGCACACACATATATGCACCGTGTGTGTACATACATGCTCTATCATAGCTCCCTCCGCCCACGCCTTTCAAATTCTGGGTCTATCCAAAGGTTTTTTTCATATTGTACTACAATACAGTGTGCAGGATTATTGATGAGCAAATGAGGGAACAATTCCGGTCAAATGTCACAGTAAAAAAGCGGCAGAGGGTTAATAAATGATGGAAGAGGTGATCTTTTTTAAATGATCTTTTCCGTGCAGAAAAGAGGCATGTCATATCAACCGAGGTGATCTTTTTTAAATGATCTTTTCTGGCATGTCATATCAACTTGAAAATGTTATCTGCACTGTGGTCCACAGTTATTCAGAGAGAAAATAAGTTTTCATACCTAATGATCAATTTAACCTTAAAGGAAGCACTCTACCACTTCTGTTACAAATTTTCTTTCAGCTAAGCTAATGTGAAACACTTACTTTTCTCCTTGATTTTCGAGAGAAGCTAAATCTTGGATGATAAGATGTATTGTCCCAATGCAGGACTGCAAAGTAAAAAAATATATGAAAAAAAAATAGTTGTAAAAAGAAAAATCAATCAGCTGCTCTGCAAATGGGCTTTCCCTTGAGTTGCAGACACAGGACAGAGCATGTTGTCCTTGCTGGGTCTGACAAAGTTGTCCGGCTCTGTCAGAATATTCTAATTTTAGGTAGTTACCTGAAGACTGAGTGGAAAAAAAAATCCCAAGGTTAAACTACCCGCACGGCTACACCATTCCCGAGCTCCCAGCTCTTGTTTTAACCCTGTGGATGGAGTGGGAGGTGGTTGTTCATCTGTGACTAGCTGGCTCTTGGAACCCCAGTTTGTATGGATACCAATGAAGCCACTTAATGTCAGAAGGGATTTAATAACTTACCTCTATTACGTGAAGAACACAGGTGGAATAGAGAAGCAGTATACCTGAGACTTGTTCTCCTGAGTGGTATTTCGATGCATTTTCAAACAGGCGTTTGTGGTAACCTGTCTCAAAAGTAGAATTGACAGTTACATAACTGTATATATGTCATAAATATAATGACCTATAGTTTCACTAAGTTAGCAAAATCTGCAGTATTTGTTTTAGGTGGCTGAAGTGTGCAATTCCCATTACTGTAAACAAATGCTGTTCCATTTATTCTTGCTGTAGTTGCTTTTAAATACATTGGCTGAAGGCCCTGACCATAGAGCACTTCAGGAGCGCTGCATGTGCAGTCACATTTTTGCCTCTGTTGGCAATGGCACTAATACATTTACTTAAAAAAACACAGTGTATCCTGCTCATCAGACAAAACATTAAGCATCCGTTACTTTATTTATTGAGAAAATCATACTTGACAGTTGGTTGTGAAAGCAGTAAGTGCCCTCTTCCCTTGGGGATTATCATACTTGTGTCTTATTTGCTGAAGAAGGATCCTGAGTGGTGATTCTATGTTATTTGACATTTTTGGTGTTGTTTTGTGCATTACCGCGGGGCTGCTGCGCACCCCTGCATCAGAACTGCCAATATTGCCTAGCTGCAGCAGCCAGAGCGATTGACCAAGGCTGCGGGTGAAGTGCAGGGAATGCCACCAAGGAGCCGGCCGAGGGCACCAGCGGGTTCCTGGCAGGCGATTCCCTGGTTTTGGGGCTTCCCAGCGGCCCCATTTGCTGCAACGCCGCGTTCAGCAGTGCGCCCCGCGCCCACTCCTTGCGCGTCCCGTTTGCTGCAACGCCGCGTTCGAAGCGCGCGCTGCGCTGACTCCTTGCGCGTCCCCTTTGCCGAATTGCCGCGTTCAGCAGCGTGTCCCGTGTGCCAAGTGGCGGAGGGAGCGCGG